CCCTCGTGCTCTGCTGGTAGGGATGGAAATTGGTGCAGCTACTACAGAAAACCGTAAGGAGGATCCTCAAAAAATTAAAAACAGAACTACCATATGATCCATCAATTCTACTTCTGGTTATTTATCCAAAGGAAATGAAGACAGTAACCCAGAAAGATATCTGCACCCTCATGTCAGTAGCTGAGACATGGAAACAATCTAAATGTCCATCAATGGATAAATTGTTGGACAGACACACAGAGAAGTATTTTTCAGCCATAAAAAAACAACAACAAAATCCTACCATTTGCAACAACATGAGCGGACCTTGAAGGCATTATGCTAAGTGAAATAAATCAGACAGAGAGACAAAGACTGTATGATCTCACATGTGGACTCTCTAAAACAACCAACCAACCAAACTCAGAAAAAAAGCTTGCACTTGTGGTTACCAGAAGCAGAGAGCAGGGGTAGGTGAATTGCAAGAAGGTGGCCCAAAGGTACCAACTTCCAGTTATAAGTAAGTACTAGGGATGTAATATACAACATGATGACTACAGCTAACACTGATGTATATCTACAGAAAAGTTAAGAGAGGAGATCCTAAGAGTTCTCAGCACAAGGAGAGATTTTTATTTTCTTATTGTATCTATATGAGAAGATGGATGTTGGCTGAACCTACTGTGGTAATCATTTCACAATAAATGTAAATCAAACCATCATGCTGTATTCCTTAAAATCATACAGTGATATATGTTAATTATTTCACAATAAAACTGGAAAAAAAATAATCATAAGAAAACCCAGAAGACAACAGGAAAAGAGAAACAGGGGCGGCTGGGTGGCTCAGTCGGTTAAGCATCCGATTCTTGATCTCAGCTCAGGTCTTAATCTTGGGGTCGTGAGTTCAAGGCCTGTGTTGGGCTCCATGCTGGGTGTGGAGCCTACTTTAAAAAAGGGCAGGGGGAAGAGAAACAAAAAACAGAGGGGGGCACCTGGGTGGCTCAGTTGATTAAGTGACTGCCTTAAGCTCAGGTCATGATCCTGGAATCCTGGGATCGAGTCCCGTATCGGCCTCCCTGCTCAGCGGGGAGTCTGCTTCTTCCTCTGACCCTCTCCCCTCTCATGCGCTCTCTCAAATAAATAAATAAAAATCTTAAAAAAAAAAAAAAAAAGAAAAAGAAAAAGAAAAAACGGCTGCTCCGGGGCCGTTTGATCTTCTCGATATTTTTCAGGATCATGTCATGTAGAGTGACATATTGATTCCTTAGGTCTGATATGATGAGCCGAAGGCTGATATATTCTTTCTCATCAATCTCTGTCACAGGGCGGCGATAGTCCTCCACATGGGGATATTTAGCTATTTTAGAAACCAATTTGGCTCTTGTAATATAATATCTAGAAATCTGGTCCAGATAAGATGCAGCTTCACTCTCAACAGTTCTTAGTTCTGCAACTCCTGAATGGAGACCCCAAAGTTGTTCCCATCTTCTATCCTGGGAATCAGGAGCTGTACCCACATTTTGACCATATTGCATTTCTCAATCAGTAGCCGGATCTCAGGTTTCACTTTCTCAATAATGTCCACTAGCTGCTGGTTGCTTTTTAGCATCCCATTGGCTCAGTTGATTAAGTGACTGCCTTAAGCTCAGGTCATGATCCTGGAGTCCTGGGATGGAGTCCCGTATCGGCCTCCTGCTCAGCGGGGAGTCTGCTTCTCCCTCTGACCCTCTCCCCTCTCATGCTCTCTCTCAAATAAATAAATAAGAATCTTAAAAAAAAAAAAAAAGAAAAAGTGGAGGGGACAAGCAGAAAACAAATGATAATATGGTAGACTTAAATGCAGCCAAATCAATAATTACATTAAATTGTAATGGACTGGATATTGCAATGTCCAGAGATTATGAGGATGAATAAAACTGCAAGACCCAATTATAAGCTAAATAAGAGGCACACTTCAAATATAAAGTCAAAGACAGGCAGAGATTTAACATCATGGGGAAAGATATACCATGCAAACAGTAAGCGTAAGAAAGGTAGAGTGGCTGTTTAGTATCAGATAAAATAGACTTCAAGACTAAGAGTTTTAACAAAGATCAAGAGGGACACCTCATAAAATATAACGGTCAACTCACTGGAATGACTTAATCATAAATATGTATGCACCTAATAACAGAGCCCTACATACAGGAGACAAAAATTGAGAGAACTGAAGGGAGAAAAGACAATTCCACAATCAATGTAACACCTTCTTCACAGCAATTGTTAGAACTAGACAAAAACAAAAATCAGTAAAAACATAGAGGATCTGAGTAACATTATCTACTACCTTGATCTAACTGATAGTTCTAAAACACTCTACAACCCAAAACTGCAGAATACATATTCTTTTCAAGTGCATGTGGTACTAAGAGATACCATATTTTGGGCCATAAAATCAAGATCAGAACAAGGACGAAATCACTATAACGTGCTACATTTCACTGCCTCTCCTAAAAACACAAAACAGAACAAACTTCTTGGGAAAGTAAAAGTAACTCTTCTTTCCCAAAGAAGGTGACAGGCAATGTTTACTTAGATCACAGGTAGTCAACAAATAAACCTATGAACAGCCTTAGAGAACCCAAATTAAAGACAACTGAGAGTATTTACATATTCATAGTTCTGGAAAAATACCGTTAGGATTTATTTACATCTACATTGAGGGATTTAAGTATGATTGTTCAAATCCTTTATTCTATTATACTTTTCAGGCTGCTTCCTTTCTGAAACCATCTAATATTTCTATTGATCTCATTTTAAGGCTGGAACACTCAAGTCCCTGAAGAAAAGAGAAAGCACAGACTCAATTTCCACAGCAACTCTAAATGCATCACACTGTATTTGTATATGAGAATTTGATTTAAATACATTAATATATGTGAATTTGCAATGTGTCTAAGCTGTGGTTGCTATAGGAACTGCAACTTCAAATTTCCTTTTAAGTTTAGTAAGTGCTCATACTTAACAAATGAACCCCTCCCCCCCCCCCCCCCCCCCCCCCGCCGCCGGCTATCTTGAGTTGCAGATAAGGCTCACTGCAATAAACTTATAAACATCATGACTCACAATGATATATGCACTTAACAGAGCTCTATCATTATGAAAATGTATATTTTAACACAGGCTCCTCGTTGGTAGATCAAAAGCAATTCAAGATGCAATTCTTCAAAATGTAGATAGAACAACTTGTCAGGCAGCCATTCACCCTCATGGGGTAGCCTCCGCTTTTGCGAAAGCTTACTGCAGTGCAGGTAAGTCACCCAAGTACACACAGACACCAACGGGCTCTACGGCTTCTCTGAAGCTGCAGAAGGATATTTTGTGTCTCTACTGAAATGGCAGAAAAACCTAGCATGTTCTCACAACAGCAGAAGGCACCGAGTATGTGGAGTGCATCTATTTCATACAAAAGCAAACAACCCACGGAGCATGGCTATAGAAGTAGTCTGTATGATGAAAAAACTTTTTTTTTTTGGTCAATTTAGACCGTACTTAATTATCAACATGTGGAGGATCCATTCCATGATCATATTTCCACTCTAATATGGGCCCTTTACCACAAGATGCTCTGGAGCTTCTCCTTACTGCTCTTAATGTATTATAGTCAGGACATGCAAGTTACTTTTAATATCAGCCTAAGGAAATACCTGGGGAGAAAGATCCACTGCAAAATCCATCAAGTATCCCAAAGCGAAACGAAAAAATAAAGATGATCTCCTGCTTTCGATTATACCAGCCAGTGCTTATTTCCACTAATGCAGATGGTTGAGAAGTGACAAGGCTTAGAGACGAGACAGAAATTACTGAATGTTACTGACACGGCATCACTGTCCGTTAACTGTGATCTAGATCTGAGAATTCCCAGAGAGCTGACCCTCACACCTCAGCATCAAGCATGTTGCCTTCCATTTTGGGTGGACAAAATCGGACTTGTATATAAAGAAGATGGCGCTGAATGGGGTTTCACTTTAGAGACTGTCAGTCGTTCATGGGGGAGATGATTATAAACAGAATCTTAAGAATTAGAAGGGAACTCTGAGTTTATCAGTTAGTACATGCTGGTGTCCCACCAATTCTGAGGGATATGGAGAGGCATGGAGCTATTTGATTCTATGATAAAGCATTCAGGCTGCTGGGCTGTTTAGCAAGCTTTCTGAAGTTTTTTGGCTCCTCCTTTACTGATGCTTATACTTTCTATTGCTGTCAGTGTAGTCCTTGCCCTAATAAGTTATGTGATGAGACACCATATCCCCATGTTTGTTATACATTTTATATTATAGATTTTACAACACCTATTCTGACTCTTGGAAGACATTTTGGTTTACATTTTCTTGGCTGTATTCCCAAGAGCTGGATACATGACCTCAAGAAAAATGAGGTCTTACTGTATTTATAGGAGCCTTTCACCTATTATAGCTTTTAAAACAGTGTTCTATATGTGATGTATACCTTGCTATAATTTTTTCCACAGTATAGTTTTTCCGTCCCACAATGTCCAAGAGACAGAACCTATTTCATTAAAAAGAGTATGACTGGCCTGACTTTCGAAAATAATCCTTTCTCCCTGATTAAGACCAATGCGGTGCACATGGTCAAGGTATTAGGAACATGAGTCTTAAGAACTACTACCTTCTGGAACACGAAAAATCCTATTTATTACCTGTTGACTTCAATGTGTTTCCTGAGCTGTGTCACCTGAGAGGTTAGGCTCTGGAAGAAATATATTTGTTTCAGGTTCATGGACATTCTATCAAAATAGCATGCGTTTCTCTGTGGCTTCCGTGACAGACCAATGGGGGACCTGCTAGAAAACAAGGCCAAGGCAGCACCACGAACAGTGGTCTTGGGGGAGCAGGAGCAGTGGTGCCAATCCAAGGACACGCTGTGACTGTGGAAGAAAAACTTCTGAGGCCTGTCCGATTTCACTACTAAAAAAACTTGGGGGGGAAAAAAGTGGCAGCTGAGTTTTAAGATGAATCTGTACATCATTAAGAGCTCTAGAAGAAGACCCTAAGATGAGAAATGCCAGGTGCCCTGAGTCTCCCCTCCTGCCCATGTCCTCCTCCTCCATCTGCCCACCAAGTCCCCCACGGTGGACAAAACACACCACTCTTCTTCTTTATCCCCATCTACTGCACTGATCAAAGTTTCTGACAAACTTGAAGGCCAATTTGAACTGCCGTAAATTTTTGTTCCCTAAAACTCCTTGTGGCTTTCTACCCAACCTCTCTCTAGCACTTGTTAAACTGAAAATAAAAATAAAATTCCCCTTCCTCTTTAAGTTTGTATCAACACCCTTGACCTCATTTTCTCCCTCCAGCTTAAGGGTCCTACTCCACAAATTTCCCCTCCTTTTTCCAACCATCAACTCTTTCTTCTCCATGGACGTTTCTCTCATCTTACAAACTTGCCCATTGTGCCTTGTCCTAAAAGCAGACGAAAACCGATCGAGGACAATACCATGCTCCTTCCAATCTCACTTCTTGAGGCGGTCAGCTTTTCCCCACAACTCAACGTTTTTCCTCAACTTCTCCCCTAATGAATTTGGTGAAGGTGGAATGTACTCTTACTGCATGACTTTACCATTTGTGAGGTCATGCCCTCGTCCAGTCTCTGGAATCTAGGTTTATGCACTCAGCATCTTAACAGACCCGTTCTCTCAAGGATTATTCCTTACCTCCTGGGAGCCCGGTATCTTTGGCCTCTTTCTGGCCTTCATCCTATTTGATCTCTCCACAATTAATATTCGGCACTGCTGGTGATCCCTCTTTCTAGAGATTTCCTACTGTTCATTCTCTGATGCTCAGTTTTCCTAGTTTTTTCCCCTGATGTTCATGTCTTTTTTCTCAGCTTCCTCTTTTTCCTCTTGCTCCTTAAATGTACGTATTTCCAGAGATCTGTGCTTAGCTTAGGTTATTTTATATAAACTCATTCAATCTGTGGTTTCAAAGTTGGATTTTTATGCTATCCTTATCTCCTTCCTCCAATTCCTCCACCCACTCTGGGTCCCATCATTCCACTGAATGACCCTAAGTTGAGAAATCCAATGGGCTCTTCCAGTCCTCGTTTTACTTGACTCCTCCACAGATTGAGAAATGTCTCAGTTGGCCATTCTGTTCCCTACCTTCTGCTTCCTTGACGTGTCATTCCCTCATTTCCTTTAATCTTTCTGGCATCTTCCCTGCTCTTGTGCAAACCCTTCCTTTTCTGCCCACTCAGTGTTAGAGTTCTTCAAGCCAGTCTCTCCCCTTCCCAGAGGGCTCACTTCTAGCCACAATGACATGGATATCTGGAAGCCCCACAGATGGACCCCTCTAGCCTCTACAACATGCCTGTGTTGTTCAGTATTAGTACTCTTCTAGCCACCTCTTATCCATTCTCATTGGAGGTGGGGCATAAATAAGGAATTTGTATTATTTACCAAATTAATGTGACTGATTTAACAAGCATGAGCACTGGTTTTTACGATGGAACAAGAGCTTCTGAGCATTTCATCATTTAACTGTCCAGTACCCCAACTTGTGTAATAATGACCACAACTGTACAAGAACACACTCCTGCTTGATAAAGTCTATTTTTTATGGAAGGACGTTTATATCTTTGAAAGGTTCGATCCACAAAGGTTTAAAAGATTTTGAAGTTCTAGGTATTCATCCCCAATGACTTCACTTTTGGACCAAGTTGGATAAAATGAGGTCTTGCTGAATATTATCACACAAAAATTGGCACAGACCATATAGGAGATAGGATGCATATTTCATAACTTTCTTTTGAAAGATTATAGATTATTCATATTTAAAAGCATAAATTGGTTCATACCCTGATTTGTACCGCCAGCAATTAAGCAGTAAAAATATTTCAGTTGAAATCTAAACAGACTTGGTATTTTTCAGAAAAACATACCAAGAAAATGAAATCGATCCCTGGAGTATGACCTTAACACACAGCTTGAATGATAAAAAGTGAGTAACTCTGCCTTTTTAGTAGTTTAAATCATGATCATTAGACTTACTATAGATAAGGCATGCTGGGAAGATAAGATGGTCAAATAGACAACAATAAAAATCATCCAGAGGCATAAAGAGACTGGCTCCTGGGAAGAATCAACCCAACACAGGATAGCACAGATCAACTAGAGCCATTGCCCCGAAGGAAAGCAACTGCAGCTTTCACTGTTCCCATACCTGCGGTGGGGGAGTTTGCATGGTGAGACTTTTTCGGCAGGTTGAAGATCTGTTCGCCTGGGTCGGGGGGAGGAATTGCATCTTGCCCTTGCCGTGCTTCCACAGGGTCATATTCCTTCCCATCGTAGTTAGCATCATAGAATTTCTTAAACCACTGAATGAAATCCAGGTTGTCCTGGAAACGCCCTTTCACCAGCTTCTCCACTGGGATCACCTGCAATATAAAATCACCGTGAGTCATGACCCTGTGTGTACTTAACACAACCAAAGGGTTCCCTGTAACTATTTCCTACACGTCCACGATTACGGACTACTGGTCGCCCCACAGCTTCTTGGCCAGCTATGTTCTGAAAGTCACCTTTCTCCCCCCATCATATTAAAGAAAAGTTAAACTAAAATGCTGTAGGTGGTTCTTCTGAATTATTTCATACTTCTGAACAAATGAGACGAAACAAGGAATACCCTTAGCTGTCAAGAGGGGCTGATCCTCTTCATAATGGATTTAACTACTCAAGCATCTCCTTGCAAAAGTGGGGGTTCTAGAGGGGAGGGGGGTGGGAGGATGGGTTAGCCTGGTGGTGGGTATTGAGGAGGGCACATTCTGCATGGAGCACTGGGTGTTATGCACAAACAACGAATCATGGAACACTACATCTAAAACTAATGATGTAATGTAGGGGATTAACATAAGAATAAAAAAAAAAATGGGCCTGGGATGTGGTGCTCTTTCAAGATTGATGGATTTTCCCTTTCTTTCTAACCTTGCTCCAGTGGTGCTGGACTGAACTCCTGTAAGGATTATAGCTACCAGACAGTGTGAATGAGACTCAGATTGATGCAAACGTACACTTATCTAATGGTTCGTATGAAGCAGAAGAAACTTTCCTGTTTGTTGTTGTTGTTTTGTATTTACACACTACAGAGAGACAAGCATTAAGAACAACGGCCTGCAGGGCGCCTGGGGGGTGGGGGTGGGGGGGCTCAGTCCGTTAGGCTGCCGACTCTTGATTTTGGCTCCGGTCCTGATCTCAGGGTCATGAGATCAGCTACACAGGAGCACCGCTAACGTGCCATGGGAGAGGAGAGGGACAGAAATGGGGGCTGCTTAAGGGAGTCCCTGAAGGCATTCTGCACTATATTCACCTCAACTTCTGAGACAGAGCTCGGCTTTTCATGGGTTAACTCTTTCTACGGCAACCTAGACAGCCAATAGATATTCCCTTTAGAGGAACTTTCAGAATCATGACGGGAAGGAATGTGGGGTGACTGATTAGCTTTACTTCAGTGGGCAGTTATTTTTGAAGGAAAATGGGAAAAAAAGGACTTAGTTATGCAAATTGTGCCATTACCAGGTTCTGGCTTCCTAATTTTTGAGTGGGAATGCTAGCTGAATGTAAGCCATGAGAGCTACAAAGCTGGGGAGTGAGTCTGATCACTGGTATACAATTCAGACACAAACCTAGCATTCAAAGCACACAACTTCACTGTGTAATAATATGAACGGAAGCCATTTATAAATTAAATTTTCAGCAAGGCTTTTGCCACCTCAGGAGCCGGATACCACTGATATCCTAAAATGGATCATCAAGACTACTTAAAAACAGAGAAAGACCTTAAGTATCAACAACCACTTGAAGGAAAAAAACAACTGAAGCATTTTAGGCCAGCCATTAAACAAAATCATTAGCAATGTATTTTTCAAAAATGTTTTTGATGAAGCTAAAACTGAAAAGAACTCAAGTATGGAGCAAAATAAAGAGAAACTTTGGGAGGGGACCACATTTTTCGTGAAGACTCTTCCAGTCAGGGAGACTTGGATGCGGATCTCGCTCTCCTCCCAGACTTAGTGAAGTCTGCCCACACCGAAGAATTCCTTCCACACATGCACTTAATAGTTGACTTTTTATTGTGCCAAATATTTTCATGTTTTCTGATTTATAACTTTTGTTTATGCGGATACTGATTTTTAAGTGCCTTCTTAGGGAATAAGGCCCTTTAATTAACATGGTACCAAATTTTGTTTTCTGCCAAATGTTAACATTTAGAACCAGTTTTAGATGATGGTACTGCCTTAACTGTTCCAAGTAGGTGCTTACTTCTGTTGACTTAATTTCACACTCCCTATCAAAATGGAAGTTCTGGGGGCATAAGTTCAAAATCTGGGGTGGCAAGCAAATCTGCACACAGACACTTCCCACCTGTGTTACGCTCTGCCAAGCATGCACAGGGACCATTGCCTCTCCAAGGACCCTTGGGTGAAATCAGAGCATATTAAGCTAGAGAGGCCAAGAAAGGTGATGAAGGCCAATCTCCCTGCACCAGAATTTTATATTCAACATTCTTAACAGTGGCTCATCCACTCTCTCTGTATATGCTTCCACAGAAATATAGAGCTCCCTAATTTGTTACATAGCTACTTATGAGTGTTTTTCTTTTTGATCTAGAAGCATGTATAGAGAAATAAACCTATGAGTGGGTGTTTTACTTTTTGATCTAGAAGCATGTATAGAGAAAGGATACAAAAATGTATAGAGAAGTGATACTGTTAAGTAGTAAGGAGAACCTATGTAGCTCTGGTTTCCAATACATACGGAAGGAGCTAATTGGAAATTAACCACAGCAAAGGGCAAAGTTGAAAAGACTCTAAAAGGTTGAGCTGTTAGAGGTAGGTCTCTTGAAATAAAAATTCTGAGAAAACAAGAAGCAAAGATTTTAACATTTGGTAAGAATGCTTTGATTTAGGAAGATATTAATTACTTTAAAAATATGTACAGTTTAGCAAACTTTTCTCTTTTCCTTTAACCTAACAGTATTCACGTTTTTCATTTCCATGGCCTAGTTACTGCTACTATGGATGCCAAGAAAAGTTTCCTGTTTTTCTCGTTTTTTTCTCTTCCCCTTATTCAAAATTCCTTTCTTCCCAAAGCTATTCCCTCTAAGAAATATATCCTAGATAATGACTATGGATTATATGTGTATTTGCATAACAGGAAGCATGCAGAGACTGAGTGGACTTTAGCGATAGTCCTTTAGCTGTCAGTTTGAGAGATTTCCTTAAATGAAAGCCTCCTACAAATATGGGAAGTGAGGGTTGATACTTTATGCTAGGCACAGACTCCAGACTACTTTGACAATATCAAGATATATATCATTGATACATCTTTGGATTTTTTGCATTTTGGCACAAAAACAATTTTAAGGAAAGACCTTGCATTTTACGGAGGTGTAAGTTAGTTTCCTACCTTATCAACATTCATTCGCTTAAATGATGCTTGCAGAAGTTTAAAATTGTGAATATACTCATGCTCCAACTTTGCTTGAAATTTTACTTTCTTCAAACTAATGCAGCCTGGAAAGAGCATGTCCATGAACTGGCAATAGGCAGCTCCTGGAAAGAGAGGAGAAAAATGCTGAGGTAAGTCTGACTGTAGCCAGGCGTGACTGAGGACTTCGAGGCAGGGAAGAAGCCCCCAGCTGTGTGCTCCTCTCTCCTCCCTCATTCACTCAGGCTGGGAGCCGGAGGGGAAGGGACCAGGCCTCCGGGCAGCTCCGGCCACTCTCCCCATTCCTAGTCACTGCGGTACTGAGGCTGTGTTCTCCGGAGCATCCCCACATTCCACGAACAGTGAGCAGAAATACATTAACACCAAGGCAATCAGGGTAAGAATAACTCTTCTTAGCTTTCATCAGAAAAAAAGAAACATTTTTTACTTCCGTCTAGATGCTACCTGCTCCAAGTCATCAAAATATATAGATGTAAAAGAAAAATAAAGTTTAAACACAAGAAAACCGCAAAACTTCTCATGAAATGTGTAGCTCAAAAAAATATGCATGAAAATACAAATGTGCTCAAGCTGTTTTATATCCACCTTGCAAAATGACTTAGGTGAAACTGGATAACTAAACCATCTAATGCCAAAAACATTGTATACCAATTTAATTCCAGGTCAGAGCAATGGGGTCCTATATTAACATGAAGGATGAAGACATGGAGACTCTGAAACTTACAGAAGTTGAGAGTCATGCTGTTTATGACTGAGGAATCAAAATAACAGAAATGTTCAATGAGTCCCTCGAGGAAATGGTTCTAGAAAAAAGGATTAGTGTTTCTTATTTATTTTATGAAGAACTCTTACATCATGACAATTTCCACTAGAAAATCCCAGCGAGATGTTTACTGATTCGTATCTTTTTAACAGTTAAGGCTACAGGCATTTAGAAAAGACATTCAAAGCCAGAATGATTATTTTTCTTTTACAAGGAGGAAAAGCAATTGAGCAGCAAGAATGAGAACAAGATGCCATTTCTGTGTTCTCTTTCCTTCTCCAGATCTCTTGGTCTGTTTCTATAATGTGCTAATGATGGCCTTTCTGGGACATGAAAGGCTCCCCTCATCCTCTGATATCAAGGTTTCTGTGAGAAGCTCTTTATTCCATTTGGGAGATTCACCTTTACATTGGAAGAAGCCAACTCACCTCTTAGGCCATAGATACTGAGCATCCTTTACTGAGATAGGAATCCAAGATCAAACACGGTGCCAGGGATCTAAGGGCTGCCTCAACAGGAAATGGTGAGGCAGCTCATGGTTCGTAGGTAAGAGGATAAAGCAATGAACGATAGACCACAGTAAATATCACCTCCAGAATCTTTGCATCTGTGAGGTTTTCCCCTTAGACACCAATACCCTGAGCACAAACTAGTATATTCCTACTCAAGCAGATGGGCTCTCTTAAAAACAAAATAAGACAAAAAACACTGGAGGAGGTAAGAGAAACATCATGATCTTGGGGGGGCATTCTTACAGTCATAATTCAACTATTCAGGTCTTCCTTTTGAAGTGCCCCCACATGGAGCAAATTCCAAGAGCCATTTGAACAGTATTTTTACAAGAGATGGGGTTGTCTAAACATAACTGTCTCGTTACCCACTTTTTGAAGAGTTATTCTTACTTCTGTAGTGTTTAGCATAAATGTACTTATATAAGATCCAGATACCTATGTATTCTTACAAAGTAACCAACCAATTCACTCACTTCCCAAATTTAAAAAGTAGTAACAGCTTTTGGAAAGAAAAGCAAACTTGAAATAGGGAGGACAAAAGGAAAAACCATTTCTAGTTCACCTAGAGAGAACCACTGTTAATGTCCTGGTATATACCATTCTTTTTTTTTTTACTCTAACAGATTGATTCCCTTCTGGGTCATTAATGGTCTCTACTGACATTTTTAATGGGTGTCCGATTTGTATATCAGGCTAAGCAACTTTCCCAAACCCAGATTAGATAAATATTCACATATATTTTCTTCAAGTATTTTATGGTCTCGATTCACATTTACATTCTGAATTCATGTAGAATTTATTTTGGTCCATGACATAAAGGATGGCTCTAATTTTAGTTACTCCAAATGTTAGTGGGAATCTGTCATTTTTGGCATGCCAACATTTGGGCAACTTCCTGTCTGGGTTGATGCTACAGTGCCTTGCCTCCCAGCACAGCACTGATGGTGAGCAGACATCCTTTTCCCCATCCCCAGCAGTGAAGACGCAGGCCTGTGTTCTGGGCTCTGCCTGGATCTCAGTCTTAATAATGACAGACAAACACAGGGACTATTAGAATTTAGTCATGGTGGCACTGGTGGGATCGAGAGTCCTGTGACAACAGCACAGTGGCATCCTAGGCCAGCGGCACAAGGGGGGCTCTGTTCCCAGCTTCTGGCTTCATTTCCTATTGACTTGACTGAGCTACCAAATATTCTTCCTGTAAATGTGTCTCTGCTTAAGCTTGCCAGGATTATTTTTTGCTATTTTCATTGGCAAATGCCAACTGTTAAAGTCAGCTAGGCATTGAACGTCATCATTCCATGAATAATCTGTATTTTTCCCACTGAGGAAAAGCATTAGCTTTACTATATATTGCTTTCCTAATACATGCATTTAGGTCTCTTTCTAGACTTAAATTTACTTTGGTCTGTGTCAGTGGTTATGTTCATACTCTGTTCATCAAATACTCTAATATATAGTATTAACTGTAGAATAATTTCCCTTCTTAATCAAAACTTAATTGTCTTAAATTTTATCATGCATTCTTTCTATTTTTATATTTGGCATTCATGGCATATAGAAAACAGATTTTCTTTAAAAAATTAGTCATTTACTAAATAACAGCTCTATTGAGATATAACTCACATATCAAAGTTCAACTTTTTAAAGTACAGTTGACTCTTGAATAACATGGGTGCTAGGGGTGCTGACCCTCCCACACAGTTGAAAATCTGCATGTAACTTCTGACTTCCAAAAAAACTAAACTACTAATAGCCTCCTGTTGACTAGAAGCCTTACCAAAAGCCTTACCAGTAACAGTCAACATGTTTTGTATGTTTATATGTATTCTATCCAAATACTGTTTTCTTACAATAAAGCAAGCTAGAGAAAATGTTAAAAAAATCACTAAACTACATTTATGACACTGTACTGTACTTATCTTTAAAAAAAATCTATAAATGGAAACGTGCAGTTCAAACCCATGTTGTTCAAGGGTCAACTGTATACAATTCTGTGGCGTTGAAGGTATTCACAGAATCGTGCATCCATCACTACTATCTAATTCCAGAAGGTTTTCATTATCACCAAAATAAACTTCATACCTATTAGCAGCCACTCTCTCCCCACCCCCTCCCCCCGACCCTGGTAACCAACTGCTGATCTATTTTCTGTTTTTATGGATCTGCCTATTCTGGACATTTCATATAAATGAATCATAAATTATGTGGCCTTTGTGTCTGGTTTAACTTAGCAAAATCTTTTCAAGGTTCATCCATGTTGTGGTGTGCATCAGAACTTTGTATTCCTTTCTACGGGTTAATAATATTCTATTGTGTGCATATACCACATTTTATTGATTTACTCATCAGCTAATGAAAGTTTGGGTTTTCACTTTGGGCCTGTTATGAGCAATGCTACTATGACCTCTCGTGTGCAAGATTTTGCGTGGACTTAAGTTTTCAGTTCTCTTGGGATATGGTACACCTCTATGTTTAACATTTGAGGAACTGCCAAACTGCTTTCTGTTTTACATTCCCACCAGAAATGTATGAGGGTTCCGGTTTCTCCACACCTTCACCCATCCTAATTGTCTTCTTGATTCTCGTCACCCTAGTCAGTGTGAATTTTGATTTGATTTCCCTGAAGACCAAGAATGTTAAACATCTTCTTCATATGTTTTTGGCCATTTATAGATCTTCTTTGGAGAAATGTTTATGCAAATGCTTTGCCCATTTTTAAAGTGAGTTATTTTTCCTTTAATTGGTGAAAGTTTTTTCTACATTTTAGGGACAAGTCTCTTATCAGGTATCTAATTTGCACATACTTCCTCTTGTTCTGTGGATGGTCTTTTTGCTTCCTTGATAGCATCCTTTGAAGCACATGTGGTTTTGCTTTTTTTTTTAAATATTATGAGAGAGAGAGAGTGTGCAAGCGGGGGGTAGGGCAGGTAGAGAGAGAATCCCAAGCCGACTCCTCACGGAGCACAGAGCCCTACCTGGGACTCAATCCCACAGCCCTGAGATCAAGACCCAAGCTGAAATCAGGAGCTGGATGCCTAACCAACGGAGCCGCCCACGCACGCAATACGCATTCTTGCTTTTGAAGCAGCACAATTTTTTTTTTTGGCACTTGGGCTTTTGCCATTTCTAACAAACCCCTGCTTAATCCAAGATCATCATGATTTACACCTACATTTTCTTCTGAAAGTTATATTAAAGTTATAGTTCATACATTTAGGTCAGTGATACATTTTGAATTATTTCTTAAATATATAGGTGTAATGGTGGGTCTAATTTCGTAATTTTGCATGCAACTATCCAGTTGTCCTGGCACCATTTGTTGAAAAGACTATTACCTTCCATTCAATTGTCTTAGCACTCTTGTTGAAAATCAATTAGTTCTCAATGTATGGGTCTATTTTTGGGCTCTCAATTCTACTTATATACCTATCGTTATGCAGTAATAGTCTTGGTTACTGTAGCTTTGTAGTCAGTTTTGAAATCAAAAGCAGAAGTCCTCCAACTTTGCTTTTCCTTTCCAAACAGGTATTCTAGTTGCCTTGCATTTCCATATTAGTTTTAGGATCAGCTCAATTTCTGTAAAAAGGCAGCTAAGATTTTGATAGGGATTGGACTGAATCTAGAGATTTGGAAAATACTGCCATCTTAACAATAGTTAGTCTTCCAATCCATGAACATGGATGTCTTTCTACTTAATTTCTTTCAATGATGTTTTCTAGTTTTCAGTATATAAAGCCTTCCACTTTTAAATTTTTATTTTTTTTAAATGCTATTGTAAATGGACTTGTATTCTTGATTCTGTATTTGGATTGTTCATTGTTAATATACAGAAATACAACTGATTTTTGGGTATTGATCTTGTATACCCTGCAACCTTGCTTAACTCATTTTTCAGTTATAATAGTTTCTTATTGGTGCTTAGGAATTTTTTTCACATACAAGATCATGACACATAAACAGGGAAAATTCTTTCTAAACTGAATGCTTATTTTTCTTGCCCAATTGCCATGGCTTAAACCTTTAGTACAATGCTGAAAAAAGTGCTGACAGTGAACATCCTTGTCTGGTCTTAGGGGGGGAAGCATCCAGCTCTTCACCACTAAGTATAATGTTAGCTCCAAGTTTCTCACAGATAGCATTATCAGACTGAGGAAGTTCCCTTCTAGTTCCTTTAGTATTTTTTAAAATAAAAGGGTGTTGAATTTTGTCAAATGCTTTTTCGGCATCTGTTAAGATTATCACATGGCTTTTGTCCTTTATTCTATTAAATGATGTTTTACATTGGTTTCTTTAATCCCATTTGATCCAACTTGCATTAATCTCATTTGATCATGGCACATAATCCTCTTTATATGTTGCCAGATTCATTTTGCTAGTACTTTGAGAAATTGTGCTATTCATAAGAGATATTGGTCTGTAGTATCTTTGGTTGGGTTGATACTGGCCCTCACAGAATAAGTTGGAAAGTGCTTCTTCCTCTCATGTTTTGAAAGGATTTGAGAAGGACTGGTGTTAATTTTTTTTTTTTTTTTAGACACTTGGTAGAATTCACAATTGAAATCATCTGGGCTCTGGCTTTTCTTTCTGGGATTCTTTAAAAATTACTAATTCCATCTCCTATTTATAGGTCTATTAAGAATTTCTATTTTAAGTTTCAGTAGTTATGTCTTTCTAGGTGTTTATCCATTTTATCTAGGCTATTTGGTTTTTAAACATTCATTTTCTAACTCATGAGTTTTTTTTTTTTTTTTTTAAAGATTTAATTTATTTGACAGAGAGAGACACAGCGAGAGAGGGAACACAAGCAGGGGGAGTGGGAGAGGGAGAAGCAGGCTTCCCGCTGAGCAGGGAGCCCGATGCAGGGCTCGATCCCAGGACCCCGGGATCATGACCTGAGCCGAAGGCAGGCCTAACTCATGAGTTCTAATAAAGTTGTTTCTCTTCAGTTTCCTAGAGACAAATAATACATAAAATGATACTTTTTTGTAATATATTTTTATGTATGTATATATGCTTATATATATACTTTTTTTCTTTAGCGAGACTATCTCCTGTTCTTCCTTTAAGTCTGTTATTGGCCACTGATTTCTGATATTGTGGCAATTTTTCTTCTGAGTTTTACCAACAGCGATACCTGCCTTTTCAGCAACCATGAAGACAATAAAAATGTTTTCTCCTTTGATCTACTAACTGATCAATCACATTCCGGATTTCCTAAAGTCGAATCACCTTTGCATTCCTGGTTTAAGTCCCAAGTGGGGATGTTTACTAAGTTTTTCTTACAGTGCTGGTTTAGATTCACAGATGCTTCATGATTTTTGCACCTATACTCATGAGACTGACTGCAACTTTGTGTGCTTCTGTCCTGTTTATGATTCTTTTAAGTTTAAAAAATATATTGGGAACATTTTCCTATTTTTGAGGGTCTAAAAGCTTGTGCACTAAAGTAAAAAAAAAATTTTTTTATTAGATTGCCAATGGCACAGTTTACTCTCTGTATACCGTCAGCTTTTCCCACCTCTATGCTTTCAGAACCACATGAGCAAACAAGCAGAGTCATTTTTATCCAATAGGCAACGTAGAAAGAGTAGATCATATTAGCATCTCCAGTAAATGGTACACTACATGATCACTTAAGGTATTCTATCATAGGTCATATTTTCTAGAGTCAAAGGAACCCCTGAAAATTTTAAAGAAATAGCTTATTGACTTTGGGAACTATGCTTAAGATTAGTTGTGACTGCCCCTGGGTATGTCTGTATATTTTCAACTTCCAGTTCCCAAATCTCTAGCGCCCAAGAGACATCATGAAAAGAATACTTTAAAGTTAATTGTTGCTACTAAGAACATGGTCAAGAGTTCCTGTTGGGGCAGGAAACTATAACCACGGCATAACTTGAATAAGGCTGTTGTATTCCAGTATCTATCAAAGGTGAACCCTCCAGCTGTGCTCTACATCACATCTCCTCTCACCTTCTCACTGAAGTCATGGCTCCAACTACCCTCAGTCTCTCTTGCAGTGTCAATTTCTCTATGCTCTAGTACCATCTGACTTTATCTGAAGTGACTCTCCATCACGTCATCCTGTTTTACGTCTATTTTATTAATTCTTATATTGGTCTGTGGTTTCTCTTCCCCTCACTGCAATGTAAATTTTAAGAGCGTTTACACTTCATCTGTCTAGCTTCCTTCTGTATAGAAGCCTTTAATACAGTACCTGGCATAGGGTGTCCTTTAATATCTGGTCAACAAATCAAGGTTTACAGGTTGTAGCAGTTGAGTCCCAACAAAGGCTGGTTGATAGTAAAATTCTAATGTTACCAAAGTCCCAAACAAGAGTACAGGAAGAGTTGTTATATATTTTAAGAACTGATAGGGTAAAAATTAACAAGCAATCTAAACTAAGAACCACCCTGGAAACTAAGTTTGCAGAAAGGTGAAAGATAAGCCTCAAAAGGCTAAATATAATACACTCTGGTAAGAGCAATCCAAATTGTAGGATGTTGTGCTTATTAACAAGATTATGATGGGCCACGCTCTGAGCCCATGAACTCAAGGTATTCTGCAGTCATGAAGGTCAACAAGTTTTGAAAATGATCAGGAAATAGAAAAAAGGAAAATATTTTTTGTAGAGTGCCATGCTATGCCTGTACCTACAGCTATAAGAATGGCTGCAGTTGTTATACATCAGAAGTGACATAATGGAGCTAAAAAGTTTGGGGACAGGATCCAAAATGACTAGGTGAGGCACTGTATGAAGGCAGAATTAAAAAAATGAATTCTTATACTCAAAAGATTCAAGGATATAGGATTTTAGTCTATGGAATCATGAAAAACATGAGAAGAAAATCTCATTTCTACCAGATTCCAGGATTTGACATTACATTAATATCAGGATAAACTGACATTTTTAAAGGGAAATGTCCAGATAACAAAAAAGGAAATATTAATTTATAGATTATGCCAAGAAGTAAGAAATGAAAATACCCATGTTTATGTAAAATCTGTTAAAGCTTTCATGTCTATTTTTAACATTCGGAACCTCACCAGGATACTTTCATCACCACCACCCTATTTTACAGATTGGGAACAAAGTTCAGAAAGTCATCCAGCTAATAAAAATAACAGAAGTGGAATTTATACTCTGACCTGAACTTCAATTTCCTAAATATGCTCATATGTTCATATGCTGCTTCTAGGAAATTACAACTGAAAATTCAAAGTTTAGAAATTTTTCTAGATTATAATTTCGTAAGAAGTCACAAAATAAACTGCAAGAGAACATATGAACCTTTCAGACTGAGGTCGGGGTGGAGAACCAGCTATACATTTCCTCTTCACAGGACAATCCTGGGCTGGGGAGATAGTTCATTTGTCTGTTCCTGTGTCATGATTTCAAATTTCAGTATATATACATGTGTAAGAATTTAGTTTTACATATTTATGTAATGTATATAATACATATATATTATTATTGTCAGAATGCAAAATCTCCTAGCACTTTCCCAGAAATGTGACATCATCTGTGGAGAAGACATTAAGCTATATTGGGTTTTGCCACAGAGAGCTACTCAAATTGCCCATCTGATGTTCTCACAGGCCAAGGAACTATTACACAGAAATGTCTATATCACTGGATTCAATTACAACTTTCTACCATCTTAGGTGGTATTGATGAAGGGTCAGAAGAATGACAACCGTAATTTGCCGGACACATCCACACAATTGTATCTTTCTTTACAGGTAAATGATTTGTGAAAAAGCTTCTTCTCTCAAGCTCGTACCAAACAGGACCAGGAAGTGGGCAGAGGAGGATAGAGAACTGAACTTTTGGTCCTTGGATCTAAGCCTTAATCATCCCGAACGGACTGTGACAGGTCATCATACTTTTCTAAGACAGCAGTATTCCTATCTGCAAAACGTCAGGTTTGGATACATCTCTAAACTCTAAAATTAGATGATTCTCTAATTCTCTGCCACCAACTTCTCTTTTAAGGGATACTTGATATTTCTGCTAATCAGGAGACAATAATGCTTCATTCTCATATGACTGAGACTTTGGCCAGCGTGCTTACTTCTAGCCGTCATCATCTCTTGTTGTAGTTGCTGGAAGAGACACTAGGGACACAGCTGTGTCCGGAGTACTACTCCCGGGGGCACACACGCCCCTTCTGGATTACAGCCCTTCCATGCATTTCTCCTTGAGCTGCTGACATTTACACACTCAGCAACAGAACTCTGTGTTCTGTCACCTTCAACATTTGAATTAATAAAGATCCTTCCTACTGGAATATTGTTTTTACAGAATAATCAGGATCATTCCAGCTCTATTTTTGCATTTAGCCCTGTCATTCCTTTTTCTGGTATGACTGCAGAACCATGTCTGTAACTAAAGCTCTCTCCTCCAGTTGAACGCAGTATTCTTTTCCCCTTTGGGAAATCAGGGCTTCTTAACAAGGGAAGTGAGGCTGCAGAATACAGGGTCACAGATTTCCAGGACATCAGCAGAAATCTCCCTACCTACACAAACACAAGGCTTGAAGAGCTTAATGGCAACTGTGAAATAATGCTCTGAAACATTAACATCTTAAAGGAATTCAAAATCCTCAAGTTCAGCTGCATCTTCCTAGTCCAACAAAAATACGATGAAGTTAGTAGTAGCTCTGTTTTTTTTTTTTTTTAAAGATTTTATTTATTTATTTGACAGAGAGACACAGCGAGAGAGGGAACACAAGCAAGGGGAGTGGGAGAGGGAGAAGCAGGCTCCCCGCAGAGCAGGGAGCCCGATGTGGGACTCGATCCCAGAACCCTGGGATCATGACCTGAGCCGAAGGCAGTCGCTTAACTGACTGAGCCACCCAGGCACCCTCTGTTTTTGTTTTTATAGGCATCTCCCATATTCCTGGCACGAACAGCAGTTTGATAGCTTCAGTTACCACGGTATTATTTAACGTCGTTAGAGTGAACTTAGGACACTGTCTCTTTCACCTGCCCCGAGTCACACACACAAAAATAAAGATCCAGAGCGCAGAAATCTAGCTTCGACTGAGCTTGTGCCCTGGAATTCCCACGGTTCTCAACTGAGCTTCCTGCTCCTTCCCACTGTTTAGAGTTATGTCAAACTTCCTATTCATATTTTAAACAAATCCCAAAGACAAGTAACTTTCAAACTGATTTCATAAGGAGGACAAGGAGTAATAACCAGCAGGAAGATTTCAACCCCCGCAGACATAGATAGAGCAGGCTTATATGAATTGTGCAGCGTGCTGAAAAGCACCCCATCCTTTCCCTTCTCCACATACAGAGTAAGCTGTCAAAGGACATTTTCATCTCTTCCTTTACAGAGAAAGAAATGTACCAGCATTCACTGTTCAGGCAGACAGATTTTTAAGAGCATCAGCGGATATATTATAAGGCCTTGCCAAACTATGTGGTTTCGGGTCTCATCTGATATGTACACTCAGGTGTTTACCAATTCAGAGGATACAAAACCTTTCAAAGCATCTTACAACTTCCAATTATGAAATAAGTAATAGAAATAACAAGTGCAGCACAAGAAATATCATCAGTAATATTTGTATGGGCAACAAATGAACTATACTTACCATGGTGATCATTTCATAATGTATATAACTGTTGATCACTATGTTGTATGCCTGAAACTAATATTGTAGAATTTCAATAAAAAAATAAAAAATTAAAATTTTGTAAGACTGCAGCAAATTGCAGTTAAAGGCACTAACATTCTGTGCTTATAACCTGCCTTTAAGAAGCAAGAATACTTTTCATTTTTATTTTTATTAAAGAGGGAGAGGGGGAGAGAGAGTCTCAAGCCGACTTCCCGCTGAGCGCAGAGCCTAACACAGGGCTCCATCTCATGACCTGAGCCGAAACCAAGAGTGAAACGCTTAATCGACTGAACCCCTTAGGCACCCCATATGCATGAATACTTTTAAAAAGGTAATGTTAACTTTAAATTGGATTTTTTACTAAGAAAATTGCAGAGCAGTGTTAAAAGTAAGATATGTCATTAAGAAAAAACTGATCAGATATTAAGATTAGTGTACTGAGTTGATTTAAAAGTGCTTCCAAAAAATCGTGGAAGAATAAAGAATATTTTTCAAAAGGAATGTCAGTGTGGCAAAAATCTACATATGAAATAGCCCTTAAGATTTAGGTATCAGTATTTTTAGACAAAAGGTAAATTTTAGAGCAATAATTAGAGATTATAATGGATAGAAATCTACAATACACAGAAGAGAGCTGATATCTTACCAGTGATATTTGGAAAATTTTTGTAGAAACTTTTGTAACTCTCAGTTGAAAACAAGAATATAAAGACACTGAAATATAAGTGGACTATTTCTAGTTGGGTTTTTTTTTCCCCCCAACTAAATGGCAATTACCCTATAACTTGTCATCTTATATTTTAATGCTTTTAGGAAAAAATACGAAACTTCAAATATGCCTGTTGATACAGAAAAAGATTCAGCCAATTAAAAGAAGTGGGAGGTGAAGAATTATCTTGTTGGTCTGAAATACTTCTCTTTAGAGGCCCCTGGGTGGCTCAGTCTGTTAAGCATCCGACTCCTGATTTCGGCTCAGGTCATGATCTCAGGGTCATGAGTTCGAGCCCAGTGATGGGCTCTGTGCTCGGCGTGGAGTCTGAGGATCCTCTTCCTCTCCCCTGCCTCTGCTCTCTCCATCTCGCACACGCCCATGTGTGCGCTCCCTCTCTAAAATAAATCAATCTTAGAAAACAAACAAACTTCTTTTCATCTGCTAATTGACAAACCAGTGCTGGCAGCCTGGTTTCACTTCTAGCTTCTAACCCCAGGGACTTCCTTTAGGGTAATGGGCTCAAATTTTACCACAACAAGCTGTCTGACCCATCCAGCTTCGTACCGAGAGATGTGGCTTCTGCCCCGGCATCAGGAATGAAGGAAGTAGAAGCACGGGGAGCATAGGCAAGCATGGGGTACAGGACAAAAGGTCACTGGCTTCCAGAGAGTCTGATACTGAAACTGGCAGCGAGATGTCCCAATGGCTTGACTCCCGGAATAGAACCAAAGTTAGAATTTGGCATTCCAGACAGAGGAGAAAAGGAAGCACAAAACGCCTTTCTTACAAATGAAACAAGTTAGAGAGGTACCTATGAAGCCCATTCTGAAGGAGTCAGTTTTCTTATTAGGGTCATCAAAACAAACTTCTATAAAGCTGTGACCTCAGGGGACAAAGTCTCTCCAAATGTGCACTTGGTGTTTTCACACTGTTTTGTGTTACCTCCTCTACTTTGGTGGACAATTTTTTTTTAAAGTGTTGAAATTACATGACTAGGTAAAAAGGGAAGATTTTAATTACGAAAAGCTTGAGGAGGTAGCCGGATCCTGAAAAAAATGGATTTTGTTTCTTATTTTTTGGTTATGCTAAAGAAATGCCTGTCTGTAGGTGACATACAGGGATGTCCCTTTATTAATCAATGAAAAGCCAATAAACCAACAATACTTATTGAGGACTTGGATTTTACTTAAAGAAGTAACTTAGTTTTGAGAGATCAGAGAAATAGGAAAACCTGCAAACACACAAAACTAGAAGTGCTCAAGGATATGGCAGAGACATGTAAATCTAAAGGCATTAGTTCAAAACGTTGCCTGAGAAAAAGCCAAGGAAGAGTAATCAATATTCTCAAACAGATTAAGTCAAGTTCAACTTGCATGGTCATTTCTGCTCCTCAAGGAGCTTAATAACATCTAATGTTGAGGTTTTAAGCACTCAATGACCTTAAGACTTTGTAGAACTCTGAACACTGAAAACAGGGAGAGCTCATGTCTGGAAGAAAAGGAGGAAGGTGGCATTGGAGATGGCCCGCTAAGAAGGCATTCCAAGCTAAGAGGGAATTAGGACATTTGGTGAAAGATGATTTAGGGCAAATGTAGGGTAAGGGCAGGGGGCCATGGGGGTAGATGCTGGAAAGACTGGTTGTAGCAACTGCTCAAAGCTTTAAAAGACAAGAAGAGAAGCAACTTAATTTGGTAGATAGTGGAGAGCCAATGCTTATTTCTGGGCACAAGTGTCTTTATAAAAAAAAATGCCTCAAGTATGCCATTTTTTAAAAAGATTTTTTGAGAGACAGAGAGAATGTGAGCACGTGAGTGGGGGGGGGGCAGAGGGAGAGAATCTCAAGCAGACTCCCTGCTGAGCACAGAACCCAATGTGGGGACTCGATCCCATGATCCTGAGATCATTACCTGAACTGAAATCACGAGTCGGAAGCTTAACCAACTGAGCCACCCAGGTGCCCCTGAAGTACACCATTTTTAAGCTCCAATTTTTAGGACATATCTATTTTAAGGGAAAATGAGATTACTGGCGAGAGACCTAAAGCCTAGGCATTCCTCCCAATTTCTCATGGAATATCTACGGAACCACTGCCCGTATCACTCTACCAACAATTCATGCTAGGCCACTATGTGAACTCTCGGTCTCATAGCTGACGAAGCAGCTTTTTGTATAGTGGAAGATGCAGTGGTATGAATTGACCAGAACAAACCCACAGTCCACTTCTACGCAATGGACCACTCTCTACAGTTGCTCTTTTTGTGGCTGAGGTCACTGTCTCTGGGACTGGGGGCTCTTCTTAGATCTACGTTACTTCACCTGTTCTCCAAGGCTTACAGGTGACAGCTCCTTACCACTGCCCCCCCTCAAGTGCAGTCCACCAGCCCTCCCCAAAGCCAGTAACACCCTCTACTTGCCAAAAGTAGAGCATTCCCTTCCCCCCAGCTCCCAGAGAAGAGAGCCGGGGGCCAGAGAAAGCCCAGAGGGGTAGGGGTGGTATCAAAAGAAGCCCCCAACACTTCTAGAAGAACCACCATTTAACATGCATGCAGATGGTGAGACATGAGAGAATATTCTTCTATAATGAATTGTTTTCTTTATATTTCACAAGGGTATCCCACAACACGTTGCTTTTCTAAGCACGATTCTAGTATTACGAGAAATCTAAACAGTGTGAGGAATGCATGAGTATTTACTTCAGGGATTCAATTATACGACCACAGGGGAAATTAAAAAAAAAAAAAGAAATTAAAAAAAAAAGGCAGGAAAGGAGTTTCTTTTAAACATCAGATTTAAACACAATTACATATAATTTTAGAGTTGACATACACATTTTCATTAGAATGTGGCTCCTTATTCAGTTTCCTCAAGTTCTTCTGTGAATTGTCATACAAAGTAATCTAGAAGAAATCAAAGTGGAGAACAATCTTCTTATGGAGAAGAGAAACTGCAGGAAATCGTGTTGGCATGAGTTTCCTATGTACATGCTTCTTACTGTCAAATAATTTGGTCATAAAAGCTGATGAGTGTTAAAACTTGGGCAAGATCAAACCTCTGGAAGGGAGGGAATAAATGCAGAGAGGTAATTTGCAATCTGTCCGAATTACGTAATGGTTACAGGGTGGAAAAAACCCAATCTGCAGAGCTGCGGTGTAGAGTTGCCAAGCAATTCAATTGTTTTTTCCAGGTATGCAATTCTAACATGCCCAAGCATTTGACAGCGACTCCTGATGCTCCTTTTTTATAGTGTCTACATGGCTGATAAACTGTACATTTAAGAACATAATTCAGAAAAAAATAGGTTAGAAAAAGTACTTTTCTTTGAAGAACAGGAAAACTTAAGCTACTTGGCTTGATTTTTTTTTTTTTTAAAATAACCTTTTTTTTTTTTTAAAGTAGGAGCTCAACATGCGGCTTAAACTCATGACCCTGAGATCAAGACCCGAGCTGAGATCAAGAGTTGGAGCTTAACTGTCCCAGCCACCCAGGCACCCAACTGGCCTGATCATCTTAATTGTGTGAAAACTCGAAGGCCTGCTAATGTTTCAGATGTTCCCGTACACAAAGTGCCCCTTAGTGTTAGAGGCCATCTGAATGGGGAGATCGGCTGGATGTCTACTTTCATCTAGGGATTGGTTCCACCTTTGCTTTGTATTCAGGGAAGCTGGAAGAAAAGGAACCTGAAAGATCTGGATCCAAGTATGAAGGAGAAATGAACAGGTTTCCACTGGGTATGACCTGTATTGTTTTTATGTAACTGTATTCCCAGATCCTAGCCCATCCCTGGACACATAGTAGGAATTCAATAATTATCTGCTGACTTCAGGGACACAAAGCTGTAATTTACAACATCAAAAGGACATCTAAACGGTACCTTTACTTAAAACCTCCATCTTCCTCTTCTTGACCTGAATCTTAACCACATTAAAAAACCTAGTTTGAGGGCGCCTAGGTGGCTCAGTTGGTTAAGCGACTGCCTTTGGCTCAGGTCATGATCCTGGAGTCCCTGGATCGAGTCCCGCATCGGGCTCCCTGCTCGGCAGGGAATCTGCTTCTCCCTCTGACCCTCCCCCCTCTCATGTGCTCTCTCTCATTCTCTCTCTCTCAAATAAATAAAAAAATCTTAAAAAAAAAACCCACCTAGTTTGAATAGCAGTTCAATTAAATTATGCTTCATAAATATTTATTCACCATCCACTAAATTTGCATGGCTGTTTGGCCAAAGACCCAAATAAGGCTAAGACAAGAACCTTTCCTAGACTAAAATAATCTTTGAATACTACAGCATTTATTACTTGAAACATTACTGTCCCTCTTCTGCTGCCTTGAATCTTTATGTCCCAGTGTTATGCACACATGTACATGCATAAAACACTGCATCTTTTCTCTGCCTTCAGCAAACATTTTCTGCCTAAAATGTCCTTTTGACACTTTTTACACTTGTACAGAGAATTCTCATTCTTTAAAGGTTAGTCTAAATAGCACTTCCTCTATGAAGTTGTCCTATTCTTTGCACAGAATGAACTATTTCACTATAATGGGTATGGCAGCCCTGAAGTGGGTTGACTTGTATTTTAATTAGCTGTCTCTCTCCTAATTGACTGGTAACTCATTAAGACTGGAGGTGGTATCCAACCCACCTTTCTACTGTGTTAGCACAGTGTCTACTACAACTATAAAACTGACAGCTCCAGAATTTCTATCTGCCTGGAGCTGGGAAACAGGTATGGAAATAAGGGGACAGAACTGGATGGGAAATGGGGGAATACTCTTTAATACTGCATTAGCATGTCCCTTCATAGAAGGCTAAGAAAATCAGCTTTTCATGCTGAAGGGGTTGGAGAAGTACCGACAGAGGTCTTAGCAGAGCTCCTGCCACCGGGTTTACTGAACTGAAAGAAATACTGGGAAAACAGTGAACCTTGATGCATCCGGCCTTTGGGGGGACCAGACTTGTAAAAACATTATTCTAGAAGATGTTCTTTTTCCTCAAGAGCACAGAAAGGAGGAAATGAGGATATGAAGTCCTCTCGGACACAAGCTTGTTAAAGCCAGCCTGGATTCAACGTGAGGAAAGGGCTACATTCTTGAGATTTAGATTTAAAGGGTGGACCAGGCACCCACGTGCTTAAGTCTGTCTCTAGAGGAGGCATTATGCTGGCTACGGCTTCACTGGCCAGGAATCATTCTGAGACAGCCGAACAGCTCTCTTCCAAGGAGGGTGATGAAATCTCAGAGCCCACCCTGTCTTGCTTGGAGAGAAAGAATTCAGAGCAGGAGAGGGAACAAAAGGCAGAGAGGAAAGGCTCTTTCTCTACACCATCCTCAGTAAGTAGGGCAGGGAAAAATCACCCTGAGACTGGGAGCAAGCGCCTGTGTGTTTCTCCTAATGTCTCACTTCCTTTGCTAAGAGAGGCCTTGAGACCACTGGTCACACCCTTGTCATCAAAAGAATGACCAGATACATCTCATGTCTTCAAGCGGCAATGTAAAGGATGAGGATACAGACTTCTAACTCCTCCTCCTCTAACATCCTAGAGATGTTCAGTGGGCTCCTGATTAACAGATATGGAAAAAAATCAAACACATACGTTTGCACACAGTGAACTGTCCACCATACCCACAGCTGTCATACATACAGCAACGAGGACATAAGGTTGGATCCAAGGAGACCCCAGTTCTAGTGTCAGCCGTGAACATTTAGCTTCCCCGAGCTTTTATCCTCTTATATAAAATACAAATTAAAAATTCCTATTCTTCCATGCAGGGCTGTTATAAGAATTAAAGTAAATACACATAAAAGCACGAAAATGGTAAAGAGCAATATATAAAAGCCGAGGTCTTCTGACATCATTTTTATGCCCCTTAAGTATAAAACTATGTATTATGTGCCTGGTTAAAATAATCAGAGCTGTAAGAATGAATAGGATTGAACTGGATTGTTTCAGATATGAAATATGAATTTCCAAAAGGCATGTTTTAGATTCAAAGGGCAAAGAACCAAAGAACAAAAGGAGGTCCTTGGTCTCCCACTAGCAAAGAAAGGCTATGAACACATTCCTGAGATCCTCCAGTTTATCTACTGAAAAACATCCAAGGGCTTTTCCAGGCCTGAAGTCTTTCCCCAGATAAACATATGAGGTGCTTAAGTAATCACAAGTTCATTTACGAAAGGAAATGGCTATTTTCCCCCAATTTTATACTCTTCCTGTTAAAGTCTTTGGATGATTTAAACTGAAAAGGGAAAGAAAAAGCAATATGAATACAAAGTAATGTTTTATATAAAGGAATAAATCCATCATGTAAAGTAAACGACATCTTTAGAAAAATCAAAACAACTCAATATATTGGAATACACTCTTTTTTTTTCCCCTTAAGATACTTGTTTTTATAGATCTTGGTGAATAATTTCAAAATAAACATATATGCTTTAAAAGAAGCATCTTATAAAAGGGACAAAATGAGAGGAGAAGGGGCTCTAAAAGTTTCTGAAATTAGAATTATAAATTACAAATGAGTCTTAAAATCCACCATGTCCTTGGGCTCCGGCCTGATGTTTCCCAAACTCCTCACCAAGATTCCTGGGACCATGGAGTCATGCCTCCAGGCAGTAGAGCTGGTGGAGTCAATGTTGGGGCTTCTCAAGTGTTTTCCCGGTCTTGGCCCTATACTTCCAGCTGTCTGAGCCTCATCACCTGGACCCACCACAGTGCAAGAGTGCTCATCTCTGGACTCATAACCATGGACCCATTCATGGTTTTTGAGCTGGTAAAACTCAGCAGAGTCTTGCTATCAATTAGAAGAAAAAAGAACCTGAATCCAAAAAATTGTGTGATAATGGGTTTCTGAATTAGCGATATACTTAGAACCCTGAAGATGGCATTCCTCTAGGACATCTATGAATTTTCCCAAATAAGGAAAAATAACTAAAGTCTAGAATTTAAGGGATTGCTTTGTACAAATTCATACAATTATTAACAGTTTTTGTGATTTTATTGAGAATTCTCAAAGGTATTAATTTGAGTTTCTAATAAGATGTCATTTATCAGCTTTGTTTCTGTTAAGGTACTATATTTAGTTCATTGTGATTACATGTTCCTTGATTTTTTGTGAAGTATAAATACTGCCAGTCTTCAAGAAAATACTCACATTCTAGGTGATATATTTTCCTAGCCTATTTCCCCTATTTTATGGTGTTCACGATTACCTATGAGGGACTCCGGTAGAAATGAGTAAGAACAGAAAGGATGCATCTGTAGATTTGTACCTGTGAAAAATATTAATGGAGTCACATGACACTTACCTAGTTAGAGACCTGAGCAGTTATCACTGAGGACTGGCTCTATGGAATTTAAAATGTTTGTTGTGAGGTGCCTGCCTGGCTCAGTTGGAAGGGCATGCAACTCTTGGTCTCGGGGTCATGAGTTCGAGATTACTTAAATATATAAAACTTGAAAAAATATTTGTTGCATTTCTCACAAAGAAATGAGCAATTCTATGGTTTCCTGAGAATATCCCATGCATGCATAGTTGCTTCAAATGGAGTAAAATCAATCTTCACCTACTCATACGATGAGATCATGAGGAAAAACTGTGATTCTCTTATAGAAGACAACATGCTTCATGTATTTCAGGGCTGTACCCAATAAAACACATATTATCTTACATACTGGTCACCCCATCCAACTCAAGAGGCGATTTCTGAGGTCTTTCCCAAACTATGGTCATTCTAAGTCATCCAGGCAGCACCCACCCAACTCCCAAGGAACCAGAAGGAAGGTCCTTCTTTACAGACTCCCCATGGCCCCACCCCCTCCCTCCTTTGTATATCCAAAGCAGCACTTACCTCAGCGTGGTCTCTAGTCTTTTGCAAGGACAGAACCATGCTGTACTGAGCTCCTAGAGGACAATGACCACGTCTTTTTTTTTACTTAAATTCAATTAACATATAGTATATTATTAGTTTCAGAGGTAGAGTTCAGTGATTCATCAGTTGTATATAACACCCAGTGTTCATTACATCATGTGTCCTCCTTAATGCCCATCACCCAGTTACCCACTCTCCTCCTGTTTGTCTCCTACAGTTAAGAGTCTCTTATGGTTTGTCTCCCTCTCAGATTTTATTTTATTTTTCCCTCCCTTCCCCTATGATTCTGTTTTGTTTCTTAAATTCCACATACGAGTGAAATCATACAATAATTGTTTTTCTCTGATTGACTTATGTTTTATTTATTTGGGTTCCCAGGGCCCAACCCAAGGAAAGGCTCAAAACATGTGTGCCAAATAAAACTAAATTGATTATCAGAACTGAATACAGTAATGAGCTAGAGGAAGATGTGGCTGATTGCTTTCAAAGATGTATTACCCATATACATAAAAAAAAAAATTTACAGGGGCAGTTTGATCAATGAAGTAAATACATACACACTTTTTTCCCACAAGGGTATTTAGCATTACAAAAGGCAGTAAAGAAAAAACCCAACAGAAACAAAAGCACCAACTTATGTTTACTTTCACTATTGCACAACAAAGGAACAGTCAACAAAACTAAAAGGCAACCTACCCAATGGGAGAAGATATTTGTAAATGTCTTATCAGATAAAGGGCTAGTATCCAAAATCTATAAAGAACTTATCAAACTCAACACCCAAAAACCAAATAATCCAGTCAAGAAATGGACAGAAAACATGAACAGACATTTCTCGAAAGAAGACATACAAATGGCCAACAGATACATGAAAAAATGCTCAAAATCACTTGGCATCAGGGGAATACAAATCTAAACCACAATGAGATTACCACCCCCTCACACCAGTCTGAATGGCTACGATTAACAAATCAGGAATGACAGATGTTGGCGAGGATGTGGAGAAAGGGGAACCCTCCTACACTGTTGATGGGAACGCAAGCTGATGCAGCCACTCTGGAAAACAGTATGGAGGTTCCTCAGAAAGTTGAAAATAGAACTACCCTACGACCCAGCAATTGCATTACTAGGTATTTATCCAAAGGATACCAAAACATAGTGATTTAAAGGGGCACCTGCACCCCACTGTTTATAGCAGCAATGTGCACAATAAAACTATGCAAAGAGTCCAGATGTCCATCAACAGATGAATGGATAAAGATGTGGTGTATATATAT